TCGGTTTAGTACCACGCTTCCATAAATTCACGTTCTTCGTTCTTGCTTGGATGAGTACGCGAACGCCATTTCAGTCGAACTCGTGTCCTTCCTGATCCTTCTGAATGGAGATGGGAGAAATTCGATTAGTGTCTTTTAGCAGCGAGCTTGTGTTCATCTATTCTGGTCGAGATCTTCCTCCCGGTTTATCCTAATCGTTTGTCGGAATCCTTACATTAGATCTTGTATATGACATTATTCTTCATCATTGGATCCAATGCTCTTTTTGGTTTCGATAATGTCTTACTCAGTGTGTTCGTAGGTTTGTAGGTAACCGTCTTGCTGTGCTGTCTTAAGAGCCTTGCCATCATTTCACAGCTGTTCTTAATGTATGGGAGTGTGACTCGTTTGCTTTCATTTTGTGCTCTTGTATTAGTCGTATTTAGCTTCCTGAGTGGTCTCCAGACTGGGTATCCATTTCTCTGGAGAAATTTGTATAGCCGTTTTTCTCTTTTAATCTTCGAATCTGTAGTGTTGCAGTGTGTCTGGATCCGCTTGAGATGTGTCCGAATGCAGGTTTATTCATTACGACTTGCATGGTCCTGTGTCGTGGTTCAGAACACGGGACACGTCGGTCTGAAGGTAATGGAAGAAATGTCAGGTATATGTACTCGTTTTGGATGTTGTAATGCATACCCTCTCATCTTCTGGAGCATTTGAAGAGTCGTTCTGGGGATGTGAAGGTTCTCCTGTATGGAACTTGGGTAATCTTTTTGTGCCTGAAAGAGAGCTTTACCCTGTTGCGAGATGTTATCAGTGAAGTGGAAAGATTTTGTCTTATCCGCGGTTGTACCGTGCAGGTAATGGCTCTGTGATGAGTTTCCAAATGTCTATTTAATATACGTTAACTTTTGCACGGTTTAGTGAGTTCTGTGCAGCGTTTGCTTTGGTTTACAGAGAATCACAGGAGGATTGCAGTAACTCAGCGCAAATCTGCCAGGTTTCAGCTTGCCAACCCTGATGAAGCGGAGGTGAGGTTAGAGCACTTAAATTCCGAACGCAAAACTTTGAACTTAGTCTGCTCAAGGTTATCCAACTGTGTCAGATAAGGATACCTTGTTTGTCGATGCCGAGACGACCTTCTCGTACACTCTCAAGCGATACCATCAGTGGGCGAAAAATCAATGGTGCCATCTGTCTTTCTGAATTTTACAGGCTCTTGTTCAGACGAGAAAATTCAGCTTTTTGATACTCTGTTTTTTGCCAAAGTTGCGACCATCTCAGCTATTTTACTCCAGAATTCCTAAAAACCATGAGTTGTGTGATGCTGACACGGCCAGTTCGAACTAAGCTCGAAATTCAGCGAATTTTAGGTTGGCGCGTCTTCTTATTTACCAATAAAAATAGCACTCCTGTGAAGTTCGCAATAAATTATGCAGTTTTTCCTCTCCATTCCTTCTAAATCTCCATTATTTGTCCCTTCACTCTACTTGCGGTATCAGAGAGCCTGTTTTCCCCCACGCACTATTTTTTTTACTATATCATTCACTTTTGAGTGGATTTACGTTCGTATCTGTGTGCAGGGCAGTCTGATGTTCACTGATACCGTAAAGGGTGCATACGTTTCCATGCTAAATTGTCACTTCACAGAATAATCAGATAAATTGATAATCTGTTATGTATTTTAAAACCATACAAGCTTTGACTGGCACAATTCCATCTACTGTGATTTTCCTCTTTCCATCCCATCCCGTAGCAAACCCATCTATCTAGGTCATGCTTGTCAATCATCACCGATCATCATTTTCTTCCACGCCTGATTCCCCTATAGATGACTTCATAGTGGCTTGACTACTGTCCCTCAAGTGCATTCTGGTCTCTGTGGATGCACTTGATCCAAGTATACGAATCGAGGTATTTATTGCCGTCCGTGTCGTGCCGCACAAATTCCTTGAGCAACTCCCCCAAGGGAAAATCGCTTGACTCCCGTCGATAAAGTAGCCCATCATTTCTACCAATTGCGATCGAGAACACTGGAATCATGACTTCAGAGCACCATCTCTTGAGTACTTGGGCAGTTAAGGGAGGCAAATATCAGCCCCCAGAGTCACCTTGGTAGCTTCCTTCAGCCTAAACAGTAAATATGGTATTTCTGGAGTCATGTGTGAACAGGTCGGACGTGACCGTAAATGTAGTGAACGGTCATCCTGAGTGTCTACTGTTGGAAACTGTTGTGTCCTACATCAAACACAAAAACAGACCTTTGATCAATAATATGCCCTCGCATGTCTGATCGAGCGCTTGGAGGCACCTCAAAATGGTTGCAATTGGCCAGCACTAGGTCCCCTCCCTCACCTGCTCTTCTCTTTTTCCCACTCTAGGACTTTAAATATAACTTGCTCAATTTTGTGGTTGTACGGCAGTGAAGCACCGTTATCAATACCAATATTGCTCTTTCTGATGATGGTGATGCGCAACTAAGGATCTGAACCTCTGACAGTTCACTCCTTTCGACTGTTTCACTTGAAGGTCTGCAAACATCACACAAGAAAATATATGCTTACGGACCTTTCTTGTGCCGTCTCACTACAATTTCCTGCTTGCATCAAAAGACGGTGTAAAACAAAGCTTGTCTGTCCTGTCCTGCTGCTTATTTACTTTAGATCCACGCCCATCACCTTTGTTCGAAGAAGACCCAAAGCGGGGCGAAAACGGACGAAAAATTTCAGTGGCCAGCTCTCAACTGATTTCAAAAGGGTTGTCTCTTTTTAGGGTGTTTTTGTTTTGGACAAAAGTAGGATCACTCAGGGGGTAGCCGTGTGGGTCCAGTTTGTCAAAAGCTTGGGATGAACCGGCGCGTTCCTGTTGATCACGAAAAGCACGGAGTTCGTTTTCTCGCCCTTATTCTTCCAGGCCCTTCTCTATTGGTCGGCTCCTTATCACGTAGCCAGTCACATTTTTGTCGGCTTACGTGAAACCAGGCCCCAAAAAGCCTGTTTCAAGACACTCACCAAACGATTGGCAGAAGATAATTCCTCCGCCCTTGTTCCCTATCTGCTTGCCTTCTTAGCTTTTGTCATTACCAAAAGACAAACCCAATTTCTGCCCATATGTAGCTAGTGGTACCACCCGCAGCATTGGATGAAAACGCATTATGATCAATATCAGGAGTCAACGATGGTAAGCACAACCGATCCTTGCGGACGCGGTCGCGTGGAGATATGTCGTAGGTTTAAACTGCAATTTTCTTCAATAATCACAAGAGATCACGTACGGTTGGCTGTGGTTTTGAACTCATGACCGGTTTCTCTATTTGCAGTTAGTCGTTAGCGAAACCCGATGGATTCGTTTTTCTTTAACGAATCGCTAACAATGGATACAAATTGGCTCACAAAGTACCATGATAATTTCTAGTTAGCATACTGGCAAACAGGCTATAAAAAGCTGAGTTGCTCCGTATGTATTTTTGTCATCAGACTCTAGAAGATAAAGTACACGATTCAAAATTTCAGTTAAATTACCAATCTCGTATCAGAAGAGCTTGGTAAACAATCGGTAGTTTTTATTTGGGCAACGTTTCGCTTTTGACACAAAAGCTTCATCAGGCCAAGTGAACAGGTCACTAAATTGGCCAGGTTATAAGACAGACGGGGAACCAATCAGTAAGTCCTCTTCACACTAGATCAGCGTTGAGTGTCAATTAACAGCTCTTGTCGGCTAACGTTGCCCAAATAAAAACTACCGATTGTTTACCAAGCTCTTCTGAAACAATGACTTCTCAATCGGTTCCAAACTTTTTCCAATTGATTGATACCAATCTCGTAGTTACCAAGTAACCGAGCTCGAGGTAACTCAGTGGTTAAGGTGCGAACTTATTGACCGGACGGTCCGTATTTCTAACCCAACTTCTCGGTAGCTCCTGGCAATATCTCAGCCTCATCTTCCCTTCGAGGTAGCGCAGGAGCTGGACACTAAATAAGTGTCACGGCTGAACGAATGTTATTTTTTGTTGGCTTACCACCAGTTGTTTGAACTCTGTGTCCCCACCAAGCGTGTTTTAGAGATATTCACTTTTGCATTGTGAAGACAGTGAATTACTCGGCAAGCGTTTATTCTTCCTCAAAAGTTCCACTTTACGGTCATCTCTCTGTTGCCACGTCCTGTTCAACTCATCATAAACCGAGATACATGCAGCTAGGAGGATGCCTTTCTGTGATTTTCTGTGGGTGAAGGCATGTTGACGGGGATCCAATAGACAACAAAGAACACAACTTATCCGATGCGTCCTAACACTGGGTGAACCGGGGGTACCAGAATCAAATGTATCGAGCGACAACTTATGTACACTGAGCAGATCCTTAGTGATTTGAGTGTGGGTCGACAATCGATCGACGTAGTTCTGTCGAACATGAACCTAAAAGGAATCAATTCAGCATCTTTGGCCTAGAGCAGTATCTGGTCCGTGCGCCTGATATCTCGCCAAACCCGTCCCACGTCATGTAAACACATTCAGTAATCGCAGCAGTTTTCTTAAGCAGTAGAAATTTACAACTTGGTATGTGCTACAGAGATCATATTGTATGTCTAGGCGCGTCTCGTCATCATTAACACCAACAATAAATGCTGATGCTTAACTACCATACAATCCTAATGAAGAATACCTTGGTAACTAGTGGAAAGAAAGGGCAAAGATGGGAACATTCTGCAAACTTCTTAAGTATCGAAGACAGGGCAGCCACATTTTGTGACAACAACGGGACTAAGGCATCTGAGCAGTACATCGTAATAAGATGCCATCACCAGATGTCCTTTATGAACCTCACTCAACATAAGTCCACCATACAGTGACAGGTTAACTTTAGCCAGACAGTCCGACTGTATGGTCTATAGGTCGATGACCACAGACTGATCCAGTACATCATTGGATCACCGTCTGGTAGAACTGTCATCTGCTATGCTCGTATGTTCTCTCAGTTTGTGTTGATCCGCTTGTGAATTATATGTTACTACCGTGTTCGGTTCTACCTACGGTATCCATCTGCGTTTACGCGCATTGCGGAACTCGGGTTTCCAATCACCTCGGCTAGATCTGTTGCCGAGTCGAATCGATTAAGCTTGAGTATCCCTTCGTTCAAGGGTCTCATGCTTCCAGATTCGCCAAATATGTGGACCATCCATGGCAAACGTATAGCATAGTTCATTTTAGCAGTGGGTCGAATACGCGCGATGGATCCATCAATACACTTTCCATTTTGCTCTAAATCTCATGAGTTTGTTGTCAAACTCTCATGTGCCCGTAAATTCTAAAGTGCATTTTGGCGGCACTATCGGAAATCGCACAGTGACCTGGGTTAGAACAGTCGACTGAACCATATGACGATGGATGTACTTTGCTATGTCCCAAAACCGTAAACAAAAATTACACGTCCTACTACCCTGCACCGCCACAGAGGGTTTCCAATAAAACAGTCAACCGAAGTAAACGAACAGATAAATTTTCGCATCCTCGTAGCGAAATGAAACCTACTTTCGTGAGCGTGCCATTGGTGCACGGACCTGTGTGGCGAATGGTATAAGGGAACCGAAAAATTCAGGCAAAATGGATGGCCCAGATGGCGTCTCTGTGTATTTAAACAATGAGATTGTTATGGGTTTGTCATACCGTACTAGTCGTGTGTGAAAAATTTGGGTTGCGAAAACAATCTGCATTATGTGGTCGTTGGTTTGTTCGCTGAGCTGGGCAATTCGATTGCCAACGTCTCATTACCAATCGAGGTGACATCATCAGTGCGTTTTTGGGAGTGTGGCACTATGCAGTACCTATACAAAGCCATTTTTGGTCGGACGTTTTTTACATAGGGGAAATTTAGTGGTAAATATTAGTCTGGACCAAAAGAATTCATTCTGGAAAGTGTCAGTATTACAGAGAATCACTGTAAATCGGAATCAGGCTGCATCCACCTGTAAATTATGTTCACACTTGCTAAATTTACATTGCTCGTTATCCGTACAGCATCTGGATTACGGCGACTATGCCTCGTTTTCACTCACCCTCACAAAACGTGTAAGCGATTCCGTCATTCATTTAAATGCCTTTCTGATGAACAACATTTAAAATGTGGTTTATAAATTACCTGAAGCAAGCACAGGGAAAATAACTTAAATAGGCTAAAACTGTCCAAAACTGTTTATTTGATTTGAACAGACTCAAGAGCTATTTCCATTTGTTTTACGTCAGGAATTGTCATATTCAGCAAAGTTCCACGAGAGAGCCTATTTGTGGAGTGTACATTACTCTAAAGGCTCGATCTTGTTAGGGCTCATCAAGACTGAATGGCTCATGCATAGTGCATTAATTACTATGTCGCACTGCCCCGCTTGGATACAACACGCGTTCGCACACTTGTTTCTTCCCAGAGTTTTATGGACTTGTAAGGTATGAACTGGGAGTGAAGAGCTCGTCATCTCACTGAACCAAAAGATGCTTCGAATATCCTTTGTAGGAAATTGTTGGTAATTTTTATGGGGATTTGGGAAATGGGCTCCAGGGACAACCTTCCCTCTAATATACGTCGTTTAGGTAATCAACGAGGTGTCTTTGAGAGCAACTCTTCAGAGTAATCAACGAGGTGTCTTTGAGAGCAGACTCTTCAGAGAGAGAGAGAGCTCCGGGTGGACTCTAGTTTGAGCGTTTGCCTTCGCTTGACTCTTCGCTGGCCCCATCAGTTGCGTGACTAATGTCCTAGTTGTGAAATGTGGAACGAGTGGAACAAACGCTTTTGGTCCGTAGTTTTAGCTCGTTCCTTGCCGAACCCAGTGCATGTTTTTGATTACGTTAACACTGGCAAATAGTTCACTTTGGCTGTTATACCTTTGATAACACAATTAGTGATGCCGCAGAATATGTTTTGTATGACCAGCCATGGTCGCTGAGTGTCTCTTACTCATATCGTACGTCCGGTGCCAATTCTTTATCTCGTCTAGCCTTGTGCCTGACTTCATGCTTTTCTTTCTTATGGTTAGAGCGTTTTAGTCCACACTGTTCAAAATCCCCCAATCTGGGAGCTTAAAACTCCCAATCAGACCATTTGTGCGCTATAAGAGATAGGTGCTTTCAGTGTGACAGGTCAACTACTTTCGAGTTTCGCTAAACTATTGATGATTTTTCTCGCCTTTCAGGTGTTACGTGTTTAGGGGACTTCATCAGGTACTTGCTACAACTGTAATGTGAGAAGATTTGGGAATTTAAATATAGTTCTTGTCCTGTCGGTGAAGCAAATCTATACCTAAAAGCCGAGAAGCACTGTTTCATCCCACAAAATTCAGAGGGTAGGTTGACTTCAGTGATGGAACGACATCTCGATCGAAAATTACCGAGTCCTCCCATACCACCATCATTTTGTCAGTGGCTCTGAGGAAGAGTAAAGTTCACCCGACATGTGAAAATTCTGTCTGAGAAGTTGTCACTCGAGGAACCGGTCAATACGGGACCACGTGATTTGGTTTTTATGATTGAAGGATAAGCAGTGCTATATCCTGGCTAAGTGAGAGCTGTTCACCCTGCTATTCAGCTGCTCCGAGCCGAAAGATTAAGTGATGGACCACGGACTGGAAGGCCGCGGGTTCGAACCTCCCAGAGTTTCGTGAGATGCGCACTGATGATGATTCCAAGGAAGCAAGCATAGACTGATCTCACTTACAGAACAAAGCCTTGATTGAAGAATTTTGTACATTGTCAGTACATTTGTACATTTCTGTGACGCGCCGATGTTTTCATGAACGTGCACTTATTTTCCCACACTTCGCTTTTGCTTAGTCCCACAGCACATCACCCGGACATACAGGGACATGGTAAATATCATTAGGACACTTATGGTCGTGTGCGGCTACTGTGTTCATCAAGTCGAATAAGCACGTCATCCCTTCGATAAGTTCACGTGGTGCATTTCGGCTGGCAAAACTTGGTCTCCATCTGTAAAAAAAAGCTGGTGTTACATCTCACATGTGCGGTTTGTACAAATGTCTTATTTGGCTGGATCATTCCGAAGACAATTTTGATGGCATTCGCGGCGTCAAGAACTCCGTACTTCTGAATGTTAATGAAGCTCATTTGCGGCTTGTACGTAAGCCGTTCAATAAATTATCATGGCACAGAAGTATTTCTAATCCTGAATAAGACAACAGACACATGCACGAGTCATGTTCAATCGGTTGAGTCGATTACATAGCGAATGAATCATATAGCTGGGACTGATGTGTGTGAATTCAATATTCGACAACTGGCTGCGTTCGTTTCGTTATAATTTACTTTTTTAATCCCCGCCAGACAGCAAGTGGACCTTGTTTCTTCATCGAGTTGCGCCTACTCCATTTCGATGCGTGTGTTTGTCCAACGCTGTTTTACAGTACATTTCGATTCAACGTAAGACTTATTGCCGGATCCAAAAACGGCGCTTCCACGATTCAACCGTCTGATCACCGCCTCTGTCTTCTTATTGAGCTTGGTGTCGCTGCTCTCTTTTTTGTCCGTTTCCGTTTCAACTGTCTTGCACACTATCCTACCATCTTCCTGCCACATCATTCATCTGCAACATGTGGTTTTACTCCAGCACAACTGTCAATCGCATGTTCGTCTTATGGCTAACGTAAGACTTGCGCTGTGGTTAGAGTCCACTTTCCTTTCTGAGACGCTTGTTAAGTCGATTTGGAAGTTTCGAAGTATTTTCGATGCAGCTTCGTTTTCTAAACGCCTCTTACTCTGGTATCTGATCAGTCTAACACTCACCTGATAACATAGTTTCTAGTCCAAACTAATAAAGTAGGTTTTCTGCCAAAAACCTTTACAAACAGGTTCCAGATATGGGATATTTCATCTACAGTTACTATGTTGCCGTAAGGTCTGAGTTATCACCATAATCCTCAGGTTTGGAAGGTCCCTTTCCCTCCCATGACCCACATTCCCAGTTCAGCTGTTCAGCTGCTCAAAGAGTCCACACAGCCATTCTTGTGTATATATGCGTTTGTTCGGACACTCGATTCAATCTAAATGCCGTCGACCAAGAAGTTAGCTGTACGTTTGCTCTGAAAGGTGCAGGAAGATCAGTTAATAAATTGTGTGTACTTTCCCTTGGCGGTCCTATGACCAGAGTACACATCGACCTAACGGGTAACAGTTAGTTTGCAGAAATGAATATTGTTTTAGCTGAAGAGTGACAAAAATCTTGTGATTGAAGTGGGCAGTTGAGCTGAACTGAAACGGAAGGCCATTCTGTAGCTATTCAGGTCTCAGTAAGTAGATCATCAGGAAAGACAGTCCGTAAACGGAAACCTAGGAACTGCAGCTCTCCAGCTGATGCTACTGANGACAGTCCGTAAACGGAAACCTAGGAACTGCAGCTCTCCAGCTGGTGCTACTGAGTCACAACAATAAAAGCTCGTCTAATTGGTTCAGCAGCGAACTTGCCAGGGATTCTCAGTATCTGTAGTCTTGTTCGCGGGCTAGTTCGCAACGCTACGGGTCACCTTGTGAACGTCCACTCCATTTGACAAAATACACAAATGGTTTTGGCTTATTCTTCATATGGTCTGAACCTATATTCCTTCTCATTCCTTTTGATTTGCTCATATTCAGTTGGAGGATTCTCGTGGTGACATGTTGACAGCCGTTGGTGGTGTTGAACCTTCGGGCGTAGACGCACTGGATTCGGGTTCGGACCATAAGAACGGGCGTTTGACCAATGGTCTTTGCATCGATGACGTTCAGTCCAACAGGTCGCTTGATGCGTGTATCAAATTCTCAATGCCGGATTCGGATTCAGAGCACAACTGCAGATCAAATCAGCCCGATGCTAATTCGGCAAACCAGTTAACTCCGTTCCGAATTTCCAAATATCGACCGTCCACTTCTCCAGGAGCCAACCGCGATGCCACCTTTGAGCCGATAACCCATGATGAACAGTACGGATCACGTCCGTCTTCACGCCTGTCTGTCGGTACAGTCGGTTCTGGGCGTTCGCACTGCACAGAGGATAGCAAACAGTCTAGACCGTTATCCTACGCAGACGCAGTGTTAGCGACTACGCTAGACTGTCACTTAGCTCCACTTTCCACCACTTGGAGTGATCATATACCGGTGGGTTGTATTTCTGGCTTCTTGTTCCTCATATGTAGCTCCACACTTTTGAACCACCCTACAAATAAGCACACTAGTCGTTTTAGAGCACACAGGTTTTGTCACAGTAGGACATTTTGTTAAGCTACTGGCTGCATTACTCTCTATGTCGACAATCAACTATACATGGAGCCCATGACTAACTAGTGTACAATCTCCGTGACTAGTCTCTGCCCTTAGGAAGGGCCGAATATAACATTTTTCCACGATGTTCTCTTGGCGGTGTGCCTGACGGGGGCTGCCTCTTTTTGGAGAGGCATGTCTTGGTGGACGACTGTAATACTCCAGTAGACTCAACCCAAATGACTGGCGTTAACTTCACACATAATCTACCCACCCCGTAAGATCATAGATATACCATGCCAGAAATTCATTCCTTAACCTCTCAAACGGTCAGTTATTCCAATAATTCCGTTTTCCGCTGATCTGTTCGCCGAGCTTGGCAACCTGCTTACAAACGTTTCGTCACCATGCGAACATCAGTGCAACCTCTCAAACGGTCAGTTATTCCAATAATTCCGTTTTCCGCTGATCTGTTCGCCGAGCTTGGCAACCTGCTTACAAACGTTTCGTCACCATGCGAGGAGACATCAGTGCATGGTTGGGTGGGGAACTTACTGCATCTATCGCATCACGTCTGTTTGAAACTGATCGCCTACCAGCATGTATTCTGAGCTCATCGGCAGTCTCGCACTTTATCCAGGCGACTGATAGAGGTCACCTAGTTCATGTGACCTCTAAAACGTATTACAGCAACCTGGTCTCAACACTGCTTTATAAAATCCATCATTTTTTTATGTCCTGGCAGTCACCTCGGACCTTACTGCCTTCCTTACCAATTCTTGCTAGTAAGTACTCAGCCGACATACCGTGATGTCATAATCGAACTTTTATTGCTACAAAGCATAGTCATTCCCGAAAGAAACCTTGCTGGTCACTTCGATCAGTTTTTCCCTTGACAAAAA